GCTCCTAGACCATATCTAGGACATTGTAGGTGCACAGTAAATATGAGTGGAATGAATGAATGAAGAAAAACAAGTTTGGTTTTTTGGGGTTTTTTTGCATAGAAGATGGGGTGTTTTTCTATCCAACAGGTCAGCTACTATAGGAGGAGAAAGTTTCATTATTGATAAGGGATTCAATTTTGATCCTGCTGACTTTGAGATATAGGTAAGAAAAGCACTGGTGGAGACACACAGAAGATGGTCAACTCTGTGGCTTAGACTTTCTAGGGAATACCCAGAGATGGCCATATATATTCTGCAACATAAGTAATAGTTGTTGACTAAAAAGAGATTTTGGCCAACTTTTTTGTTCATTGTTATTCTATTTGTTCTAGCATCTTTCAAGAGAACTTTGAGAGAGCCATATCCCCTACGGCTAGGTTTTTGATCCTGTTTAATTAAAAGATAAAAAACATTTTGAGCATATACTGATGTGAGAAAATAGCTAACAAGTGATTCACTGAAGGAAACTTCTAAAAACACAGACAAGGAGCAAGCACACAGACTCATGGAATTACTTGTTTTTGGTGAACTCTGGAGAAAAGAGACTACAACAGAATCTCTGATACTGCCAATTTGACCTTATTCTGAAAGTGGTAAAATCCTGTTTTGAAGTAGCCTGGCATTTTCTTTAGCCTCAAGTGAGACTGTTAGCATTCACTTCAGGAACAACTTCGTTTCTTAGCAAAGAGAGAGTCAAAACCTGAGAAAAGGTAAAGTTCCCCAATTTCCCAAACATATATAATAAGCAATAGTTCAGTCTCTTCTGTTCCTCACTTCCTACATAATCACCTCCATATATATCCCACAAGGAAAAAAATCCTCTACCAAAAAACAAACAAACAAAAAGATGAACCTTATTGACCTTGACCTATAGTTTTATTGTTTGTTTGCTTTCAGTGAAAATATTATCAATTTCTTCCTGAATAAAAATTATCTCAAAAAAAAAAAAGGGTTGGGATGAAACATTTTTGTCTTGAATAAATAAATAGTTGTCTTTTATTCAAAATACCAAATTATTTCTGGGAAATATGTAAATTTTATTATTTATTGGTGGGCTGATGCTTTTCATATGAACCAAACCAAACAGAGATGGGGTAAAAAAAATTATATCTGAGGATTCATTTTATCACCTGCATTCACAATGGTGAAGAAAGAAAAGAAAGTCCTTAGACCCTGTGCATTCTTTCCCTTTCTCCTGCTCAGGAAGCTAGGTCAGAATCAATAGACATTAGGAACCATATCCAAGGCAACTTCCTAAGCAGTTTCACATATGACAGCTCATCTAATCCTCACAATAAGCATGTGAGGTAGTCAATTAGAAACCACATCAAAATGGTGTGTCCACTGACATATTTTATAGGGAGGGAGGTGGAAGAGACCCAGGAGGCTGAAGCAGGAGCCCTGAAACAGAGTTTGGACCACAAGCAGCTACCCCTGCTGGTGCCACTGGGGAAACTTAAGCATACAATGCAGTGGACAACAAAGAACGTGTTTTTCTAGCTGGACTTGAGCTCCACATGCCTGGCTGTTCCCTAGGGTGAGCTAAACTAGACCCAGGTAGGAAAACCTTTTGCCTAAAGTAGATGCAGGAAGAGAATAAGCCAGAAGGAAAGATCTGTTTCATAATTGGCTTTATACTCAACAGGTTTTAGGAGCTGCATCAGGCCCCCTTACCTACATATTTAGAAAGGCATGAAAAAAAAAAAAAATACAAAAAGAGGTCAAGATGGCTGGGCTTCTGTCCAGGAAGAATCTCTGGCTCACCTCAACCACTCTCACGGAAGTAAGAAGAGTAATGACAGAGCGGGCAATGACTGTACCATTTCTGAGAAAGAAAAATCTCTTCCTCCAGCTTCATTAAAAAAAGAGCATTAGAAAAGTAAAACTTCCATATGAGCCAAACTTTTAACTCTTTTCATTATCTGAATGGTACATAAAATGATTTCAGATTTATTTTAGCCATATAGTTGGGATTATTTTTATTTTTACTACAAAGCAACATAATCATTGGATTATTGAACTCAAGAGAATATTTGTGAATTCATTGGAAGGACACTTCCAATGGGATTTTACACATATCTAAGACTCATGAAAAGAAGGAACTGGGTTGGTTTCTTAAAAACCCAGTACCACAAAAGGCCCTTCATGATCTAAATTTTTCACACTGACACTTTTACATTTTGCTCCAGATAAATGGAATGTCCTGTAGCACTCCAGTCGTTTATTTTACATTTCTAGCCACTGGACTAGCCCTTAGCCTTTTCCTCCCTACTTTTTCTGCCTTTCCTAATACATATTCATCTTTCAAGTATGACGACACATACTGTATCACTCTTTCAGAAAGCATTCTCTGATGCTCAACCTCCCATGTTTTTTCTCTTATCTAGTATCATGATATGCATACCTTTATTATACAAGAACAAACACCAATATCAACAATAATGCAGACTAACCTATTATATGCCAAGTAGTATGATAAACAGCTAATTGAAACTTATCTAATTTTATAATATCTTTGTGTCTCTATTATTATTGATATGCCCAAGGATGATAAATGTCTACCCAAAGCTATTATATAGCCCAAAGTGAGAGAATTTAGACTCCTAGTTCAGTTGTGTTAGACTCCAGAGCTCAGACCACCAACTACTATCCTACATTCTCATTTATCACTATGTACTAGAGTTTTCTGTTTATTTTCCTGTATCTATTAAATTGTAATAAACTTGAATACATAAAATGTGACTTTGATGTTTGAATTCCCAACACCATGAAAATTACCTTTCTCAATAAGTGATCATTAAAATATGTGATGCGAAAGGGAATACCTAAACCATACTCTATTTCTTGTGATATTCATTGCTTCAACTATCCCATTAAAGTGCCAAAAGGAGGTAGTAAGAACAAATGATAAATAACTTAGGTAAAGACAGCAAGATCCAGTATCTAGACTCATGTATGGAATACCAGTACTTACCACTTTCTTTGTGCCCATCACTCTGTAATTGTATGTTGGCACACTGGTATACTCAAGCAGCTCACATATTGGACTTATGCTCACAGAGTCTTCATTCCTGATTCCTTCCTATCCTCCATTCACAATTGTTTAAGGTTATTGAAAATTTAAAAGTACATTATCAGACCTAATGGTATGCATCCAACTCTACTATACACTGGCTCTAAGCTAGGAAATGATTTAAAACAGAAACTTATCCAGAACTATCTATGGAGTAGCAGCAGAAAAAACAATCTCTATTAAAAAGCAAATTTTCAGAATTTACCATTATTTTAGAGCATCTCAAAGCTAATTAACCCATATCTGGTAGGAGATCAGACTACCTTAGTAGTACTTGTGGTGCTTGGCTGTGAAAGTACAGTAAATGATACAAGCAACCACAAGTACATTCTAATCACTATGCAAGAAGTTTCAATCCTCCCACTAAAATTAGATAAGTATCACACAAATGTAAAAATGTTATGAATTTCTCTGTAATTTTGAGAATTTCACAAATTCATAAATCAAAACACAAGCAGAATTGCTGCTGGGCAAATTATGGGGAAAATTCTTCTAAAGTTCCTAAATAGTATAAAATAGAATCATTCACAAAAACATAAAAATTTAACCTACTATGTGATCTTTGATGAGTTACTTTATTCATTAAAGCACATAGATATATATACATATATTTACCTTTTTCCCTCATTAAGACACAAGTTTCTCGAGGGCTTGGATTTTGTTGGGGTTTTTGTTGTTGTTGTTCACAACTGTATTGTGGTGCCCAGAAGATGTCTGGTACACAGTAGGCACTCTGTAAACATGACAGTATACTTCCTGCCTTTAGGGAAATGCCAAAGTATGAAACAGAAATAAATTACCAGCTAAGGGATTGGCAATAGAGGGCCAAAAGGATTGAAGAACAGCATCAGTGTTAACAAGGGGGTACAATATCAGGACCCATAAACAGAGAAAGGGTTAGAAGAAAGTGGGAACTTGAGGAGTTGGCAAGGAACCAGGGTTTCCATGTAGATTTCTGTGTAGGGAACAAGAGTAGTCTAATATATTTCTGGTGAATGGCTCTTGTCAGATGAGGACATTTGAACATGACAGACAAGTGTATATCTGGTCCTGCTATAGGCTATCATGACCAGCTTCTGGTTATGTTGATAACATGAGACCAATATTTGGATTTTGTCTTTTCAGTATGAACACCTTGATGATTTATTACATTATTTTTGGAACTGCCAATTCTTAATTTGTCTAATTGGAATTACAATGTGTCCATCACCTAATTTGAGGTTTCCCCCCCTTGTCTTTAAAAATCCTGTTTTCTTCATTAACAAAGTTCTTCCTCAGTCATACCTAAATAGTATGTTTCTGTCCTCTCCTTCAAGCTTTTGAAAGTTATCTCTCTTTTTTCATTTATTTGCTTTGAAATTATTTTACAATTCCTTATACTCTGTTATCTGATCCTATAATTCTATGGAAACAAGAGCCTTGATAAGGTCTTCATTGATCTTACATAATGGTCCCCATGTAATGACATTCAATAGCCATGTATCAATTTTCTTACCGGACATTATATTGGACAATGGTAACCACTGCCCCCTTACTCACATACCTTTTTCCTTTGGTACACCTGATATAATGCTTCTTTGGTTTTCTTCCTATCCATCAGGCTACTTTATCTCAGTCTTCTTAGAAGACCCATCCTTTCCTATCCAGCCATTAAATGACAGTGCTCCTCAAAGCTAAATCTTACTTCCTTTTCTGTTTTTATTCTATATTTTATCAGAAAGGCAATTTCACCAAGTCCCATTATTTTAATTACCACCTAAATATTATTGACCCCCAAATTTATCTGGAGTCAGATACATTTTCCTTGAACTCTAGACCCATATATCTTAAAGCTCACTCAGCATCTCTATTAGGGTGTTTGAAAATGCCTAAAATTCAACATATCCAAAATGGATCTTAATAACAGTAACTTACTAAGCTCTTGCCATGCACCATATAATGTACCAGGAAAGATAGATAATGTGATCATTATAATCTTTCCCATTTTATGGATAAGGAAAAGGAGATACAACAGATATAAATTATCCAAGTCCATACAGCTAAGTCTCAGGCATCCTGAGACTTAAACTCAGGCATTCTGGGTCCAAAGATGAGTTTCTTAACCACTGTATTGAAGTGCTTTTGAATCTTCCTGCTTAAACCTGATCTTTCAGTGTTACTCATCTCTGTGAATGGTCCTTTACTGGTCCCGTATCATAGGGTATAGTGAGAAATAACTTCATTCTTTCTCCATCCAATTTGACTGCTGATTCAAATATACCCTGTAGAGGAAGGTGTTCCCTTGCTCTTTTGGAAAAATCTTCAGTGTAATTCATATCTCATCTGCTCACATAAGATAAAAAAAAAAAAATCAAAAACCTAATTTTACTACTTAAAATACCAAGGCTCACATAATAGTTCAAACTCCAAAATCCATTCATCCACTTTCATGGCTGCCTCTTTTATATCTTGGATCAACATATAACATTCTCTTTCACCTTGACTATTGCTCAAAAACCTACCGCTTTCCTTACAAATATTCTGGCACCCTTAAATGTTTTCTAAACTGAAGCTGAAGTCATTTTCTTAAAAACATAAATCTGATATTATCAGCTGCTGCTCAAGCTATTTCAATGGATTCTCTCTGTTTTTAAGCCAAACATCAAAATATTTAACCTGTCCTGTGTAGTCTACCATTTATCTTTCTCTACAAGTTCATCACATTTTTCTCTGTCTTGATTCAATCAAACTTATTTCAGTTCCTTGAAATGATTACATTCCCTCTTGTTTGGGGGTCTTTGCACATATTTCCTCCCTTATGTGGAATATTCTGTCAAAATTCGTTACCTTAGTTAACTCCTAGTCATCCTTCAGATCTCCAAAATTTATTTCTATTGTAAGAACACTTCCTTTTGTCCTCAGTATAAGCAAAGTTCCTTTGTGGCTCTAAAACCAGATTCTTGTCCTTTAGGACATTTTCCACAGTTTTAATCATTCATTTCCTTATGTTATTAGACTGTGAAATCCATAAGAACAGGGGCCTTTGTTTCACTTGCTTCTATATCCCCAGCACCTAGCTCAATGTCCACCGTATTACAGAAACTAAATGAATATGTTAGTCCAGCTAGTGTATTAACTATGTTAATATACTTTTATGCTTTAAAGCCTATTAATATGCTAATACTCTACTTATAAAAATATGCCCTAAAAATTATCCTGATATTCACTATCTCAGCATGTTACTATTATAGAGATAAAAATTATGTATTTTTATAAATATATTTAAGAAAATATATGAGTATATAAGTTTTATTTTCTTATGCTCATAAACTTTGTTAGGGATGCACTGATTCTTCTTTTAGGTCATAGCACCTTGATAATCTCCATATGGATCAATCAATATTATTCTTCCATGACCTTAGTTCATACCATCTGTCCCGCAAACACGTGGCCTGGGCTATAGGGAAGACAGAGTGAGCCACTTTAAATGGATTAGCACAAAATTAATTTCCGTAACTTGGAAAAATCACTGGTTAGTGTTCCATCATATCACAATATATAAAACATTATAATAATGTTGTTTCATTCTGTAGAGAGGTAATAGGATGATAGTATAGGAGAGTATAAAGAACAGGCCTGGGGCCCTCAGAGATCTGGGTTTGAATCTTGCCTCTGGCATAGACCAAATTTATGACATAAGCAAACACTGTAACATTCATAAACCTAGCTTTTTATCTACAAATATGGGAATTACATAAATACCTTGTCCATATGGTTTCCACTAACCAAGAAATTACACATAGTAGTTTTATTGATCTTGAATCAATCAATAATGAGTTGTAACCTTGGTTTTATTTGAAATACTCAGTTTTTCCTCATCTGATAATTTTCCAGTCTTTCAGGTTTATTCCTTCAGCAATACAGCTTTATTTTCTATCTTAATTTTCCAAAGACTTTCATATTTTTAGTTATTTCTTTTCTTTAAATAATCTTATATTTTTCTCTCTGCAAAAAAAAAAAACCCATTGCTAACAAAAATGACAAGTTGTCTCTGTATAATATTCACACCAAAAAAATATAGAAATACCACATTTGTATTTATTCAAGCATTAGTGGGCATTCTTGCTCATTTGCAATTCTAAATTTGAATACATCTGGCAATTTGGTTTCTGTGAGGTGATTCTGTTATCTTTTCTGTTTGGGGAGTTTTGCAGCCTAAAATGAGAGGAAATGTTTGTAAACTTCACTTCAATTCCTTAAATATATAAAGTGAAATATTTACCTAGTGTATCAGACTTTTCTACATTTCTTATTATTGTCTTCCATAAAATCAGCAGTCTCTAAGTGGTAAGTAATTATCTCCCAAAGAAGAGATATCTTCTAATTTAAAAGAAAATATCTTTTTCAGTTCAGACTCATGCATCAATTTTTACTTGATGGAGTTAATTTTTTCTACTTCTCTCACATTGATTTAAAATTAGAGGCAAGATTTTCAAATGGAATATTTACAAGAGAACTCTTGTTTTTCCAGTGTAATTCACACTGTAGTAACTCAGAATCTAAAACTAGTGCAAGGAACTTGAAACCAGAAATAATCTCCTTCATGCCCTTAATTATCTGTCTCTTTTTCTTCAGAAAACTTAGTATTCTGCACACAATTAGTACTAAATAAATATTTCATGAAAAAGCAAGTGGATGAGGAAGATGAGAATGCTATAAATTAAATGCCAGAATAATCTCTATCATAACTCTACTGGGCTGGATTGGCTTAGTTTGTCCTCAGAGGCTACTTACTTCTTCCCCAAAGCCTATAGCTATGAATTGTGATAAATATCTCATTTTAATGGTGTCTGATAGTGCAGCTCAATTACTTCTATATCAATATATAGTGGAATAATAAGGTTGGATATAGCTTTATAAAGTTTATTCAATATACTTTGAAGATCACTAATCATTTAGTCATTGTCAAGCTCCATTTGGGAAATTTCATTTTAAGATGAAGATAGTTGCAGGTCTAGGGCTGGCATATAAAAAGGGATTTCTATGTCAAAGGCATAGGAGTAGTTAAGATTAAATAGAATAAGAATAGAAGGGGATTAAGAGGAGCCCAGCAGAACATTTAACAATTATGGGGGCAAAATGGAAATTGCATTCTGCAAAGGAAGTGAAAAGGAACTGGCCAGAAAGAAACAGAGAAGATGAAGAAAGAGAACTGAGAAAAAAGTGAATTACACTATTTTGCAAAAGGTAGTGACTCTCTCTGCCAAATGCTACAGAGGCCAATAGGATGTGGACTGAGAAGACCCATTGGCTTTTGTAGTGAGGATGTTATCAAGAAATCATTCCTCTTAATTTTGATTTTAAAAAACACAGTGAGTCCTCACTTCATGTTGTTCATAGGTTCTTGGCAAGGGTGACTTTAAGTTAAATGATGCACAACGAAATCAATTTTTTTCTCTTCAGTGTTATAACAAAACAATGTTGAAAATAATGACATTATTCGAGGATCTTAAAGTTATAGTTTCCTAGGACCTATCAACAATGTTAAGTGAGGACTTATTTTTATATGATTTTTTGTCCAGTTTAATCCTCAAAACAACCCCACAAGGTCAACATGATAGCATACTAGAGTCATTTTTATGAATGAAGAAACTAAGTTTTAAGAAGAACGGATGAATTGTGCCATGTTTCACAGCTACTAATGAGAAAAGAAGGGCACTGCTTTATTTGTAATAACAATAACATCAACAACAGCAACTAAGATTAAGTGAATGCTTACATTTAACAAATATCAGGTACTGTTGTTAACATATTATCATCTAATTTAACCCTCACGTGGATTTTATGAGCTATATTGTATTATTCCCATATGATGATTGCAAAGCCTTAGGCCCCTAAAGGCTGACTGACTTCCCCAAGGTCACAGAGCTGGGGAATTACTTGGTAATTTAAAGTATTTGCTATTTTGGGCTGAGTGCAGTGGCTCATCCCTGTAATCCAAGCACTTTGAGAGGCCAAGAAGGGAGTATTGCTTGAGGCTAGGAGTTAGAGAACAGCCTGGATAACATGATAAGGCCCCATTTCTAGAGTAAGAAGTTCAAGGTTGCAGTGAGCTATGACTAGGCCACCACACTCTAGCCTGGGCAACAGAGAGACCCTGTCTCTTAAAAAAAGAAAAAGAAAAGAAAAGACAAATGAAAAAAGAAAGTACTAGGTAGTTTGATGGAACAGACAATGCTGCTTTTCCAAATTCCTGTCTCTCTGAGTCACCTGTCTGATACTGCGAGATAGAAGCATTCATTATTTCATCTTAATAAAAATGTCTGTATTTATTTCATATACTTTAAATATCATGTGAGTTTGAACATGTGTTCACGCTTTTCCTTTAGCCTGCTAATATTTTCCAAGCACCAATCTAGGTCTGAGAAAAAGCTTCCAGATTAATGTTATCCACTCTCATCAAATGTTCTATAACTCATCTTCGATATGTGTGAGAATTAGTTCAACTCTTCCAGAGGCTTGCCCTCTGTTTCATGTTCTCTGTCAGCTAAACAAAACTAAAAACACATTTCCCCGTTAGTTTGCATCCCTCTTTAATCCATTTATCTTTTTGATTGGGCTAAAATGAAAGATGCATTAAGATATTTAGTTGATGAGATCTTTTTCATGTTAGTATGAGCATTGGAGTTGGACCCAAACTCTTGCCTTCACAAAACATGTAAGCTTTGACAATTAAGTTTTCCTTTTGCAAGTTTTGCTTCTTTACTTAAATGGAATAGATGAGACCTTGGTCCATGAGGTTGCCATAATAATTAAATAGCACAGTAGTTCCAAAAGAGCCTGACATGTATCAGGAGCTCTTTAAATACTTAAGATCTAACTACTTTTCTAATATTGTCAATAAATTCACAAGAGATATTTTTTCTACAAAAATTAGATTTAAAGAGCAGACCAATGATTCTCCATTAATAATTTGTTCATTGTATCATAATTTAAGTATATTCTTCTGGTGCTATCTCTAGTATAATCTCTTTGTTTTTGGTATTGACTACATTAGTAAAAATGTGATAGGATTTATTTGTTCATTATTAAGACTCACTAAAAATTTTATCTCAGCCTCAGTAGAATTATGTGCTTCCATTGCTTCTCAATCATATTAAATATTAGTTTTAATTTGACCACATTGTTATTTTGGGGATTTCTTTCTGTTTCATCTCAGTTCTTAAGCTCACTGGCTAGTTAGTTAGTGATTACAATAGAACAGTAGATGTGGTGCTACAAATTTTATGGGAGTAATACTTAGCTAATTTTACTGGAGTATACACTGCAAATTTAACTGGAGTAGATCTTATAATTGGAATCAGTGCATAGGTCAATACCACATTTTGTTGAACTACTTAACCTTTACCTCTGCATGCAACACATGTCTTCAACAATTAAAATGCCTTTTCCAAACTATCACCCCCCACCCCCACCCCCGGAGTGCCTGCCCACCAGATGTACCTTGAGAAACAGAGTTACATATTCAAATCTGCCAAGCCCTCTCTTAAGATTTCCAGTGTACATATTCTCTTTTTCTGTCACCTCAATTAACATTTAAAAACTCACTTGAAGTAACACTAATTTAGAATTTTCTGCCTTTAAAAAATGATGTATATTGACCATGAAATTTGTTATTTTGGGGGGCAAATTATATGCTCACCTAAGTGAAAACCCCAGAGGTAGGGCAGGCTGTTAGTAAAGTTTGATCTAGTAGTTCAAATTATAGTATCAAGACCCAGCTTCTCATGGCTCTCCACTGGCCTGATGCTAAGTCTCCACACCATGGACTCTTAACTGCTACCTCATGGGAGGGATATACCGGTAAGCTGGCTCTCCAAAAAAAGAAAAGAAAAAGAAAATTTAAAAGCTCTCATTTGTACCACTTGTGTTTTCTAGGGTATAAACACTCCCACCACGGTCAGTTTCAAGCTAGCAACACGATGTCACTAAGTGCAGAGTTGGTTGTATGACAACTTTCACGAGCCACAGTTAAGGGTAGCTCCAGCACATCTCTACTGCACATCCAGTTGCAGCTCCAGGGCTCATATTTTCACATCACAAGTTCTGGAAAACAGTCCGAGTTTCCTTTGCTAGCTCCTGAAGGAGAAGGAAATGACTCTTCCCCCAAACCTTCCATTAATATTTGCCAATATCTCATGGACTCTGATTTACATACCCATTCTTGATGCAATTTCTGGAGGAATCAAATGTATTAATTGGCTTACCCTTAGATCTGTGGACCATGTCAGCCAAATGTTTCTCCATTTATTTATAAATGGGGAATTCATTCCCTATTCAGAAATGCAAGAAATGTTCATTTAAAAAATAAACATATATATATTCACACATATTTATCTTTATATATCTATCCATCTATGTTTGAGAGTGTGTGTGTGTGTGTGTGTGTGATGAAAATGAATGCCTGGGAAGAAACAAAAACATGGCACTTGAGCACGTTAAAACAAACAAACAACAACAACAACAAAAAAAACAACTGAGATTAAAATATCAGTTTACCACTTGATTGCCTAGCAGGGGTATTTCTTTCCCCATCCTCCTTCTATTGCTACTATCTAGCATCATATCTAACAAATGATACATGCTCAATAAATGCTTGTTGAATGTAAGTTAAATAGTAGGCACTCAAATATTTTTGACTGGATGAATAATGTCAAAAAATGTAAACAAAATAAGTTACTGGCTTCTTATTTTTAAAATTCTCTTTGGATTTTGATACATGGGCCAGTACCAGTGTCAATAATTTTGTAAACAGTTCTACTACTTAGAGTAATTTACCTCCCTAATAATGATTCAGTGTCATTATAGTACATTCTAACCTATGGTAGGTTATGCTAAAGTATTAGTGTTTCTGTTTTTTTATTGTGAGAATTGGCCCATTTTCATTGCACTCAGCAATGCTGTTGTAAAAAAATTTGTTTTAGCATTATAATAGGCATTTGTACTCATTTACCATCCAACTAATGCTTCATGCTGTTGAATTGTACAGTGGTCAACCAAGAGGCTGGAGAAAACAAAGATCAACCAGATAAGAATTCATCCCTGTGTTCTTCATCCACGGGTATTGTGTCAATGTTAGCAGGTCATTATTGATTAATTTTAAAGTTTTTCTATCTTTGGGAGATTTGAAATAATATAGGAATATTGCAATTGGACAAGCATCTTCTTTTTATTTCCTCTCTATACAGCATTTTGCAAATGTTAAAATAGCAACTCGATTGTTTTCTCCCTAGTGTCCTGTGTATTTTGTGGCCTATGTGGAGATTAATAGCAGCCTGAAATAATCTGTTGTCCTTTGCGGGGGGAAAAAAAAAATGCTGCTGTTTCTGGAAAGAAATAATTGGTACGTAGCTTATGGAGTCAACGTCTGAATTTAATGGAGCATAAAGGGGTGGTATTTCTCATGAAGGAGGCATATTATCCATTTAAACAGCTTTCAGTCTTGCACATAAATTAGGTCTTCGACAAGCTTTGGAAAAAGAGAAACCACACGGTAATGAATTAACATGCTTGCATATTCCTAACAAAGAAACCTTCGCTTTTGAAAAGAAGAGAAAGCTCCAGTGTCTCTGTTACATTTGGAAATCTGAAATTAATTATTGACTTTTCCATATTGTTTGCAGCCACTTTGTTTGCCCATTTATTGTAAAATGTGTATATGGTAATTGTTTTATGAGGGCTCATAAAACTCAGACTGCAAATGAGATAATGTATGACCAATTTATCGCATATGCCCTTCAGACATGGAGCTAAACTTGGCATAAATGAAAAGTGGTCAATGTGCACTTTGTCAAGGTCTTTTCTTAAGGCATTAGGGAAAGAGAGAATTGTATGGAGTATTTATGGTGAAATGCTCAAATAGCTGCAATTGAAAACCATTTTATATTTTTCTCTAAAATATATCCCTTGCCATTTAAAAAAAACTGATTTTCAGTGGTTTCTAGAGTCTATCTTGGTAAAATATGTTTATGCTAAAAATGCCTTATGAATGCGTAGAATATGCAACTTGACAAACTCCCTTACCATCTAATATGTGCAATACCAAAATTTCCATTTTTGAAAAAGAAATTGAATATATATCTGTTGTTATACTTGTAGTAAATTTAAGAAATAATTAATATAAAGCAGAAAATTTTCAAGGTATCATTTTCTAAGTATTATAACAGGTATGTCGGCTAGGAGGACCCCAATTCAGGTAAGCCCAAACCCTGAGGTAGGACTGCCCAACACTGGCAGAAGAATGTAGAAATGGAGATTCCACACCTTCTTTTATAGCTCATCCCAGCAATTACAGTTAATAATCCATTCTACCAAGATCTTCTTTCTTCCACTAAATTAAAACCTTCCTGCCTCTCCATTGGCCCATCCAGTTTCCTCATGTCATTTTAAGGTAGTTAATAGGTAGATAGCAAATTTTGATGAGGCCCTTTTTTAGAAGATCCTACAAGATATAACAGAAATTGATTAAACTTTCAGTGAGTTGATGGATAACCCAATACTTAGAGCTGTAGCGTGAAAAGAGGTTACATTTATGCAGAAAATGTTTACTTAGAGTATTAGGAAAATATCAAGAGAAAACTATTGTGATCAACATTAAGACAAGATGCCAAATAAAACTGGGCAAATAGAGAAAGGTCCACATGCAAAATTTTATACGAATGGAAGGTAATAGAATGCCAAAAAATAATTACCTACAATAAAATTAGTTTTTAAAGGGTAGTAACCATGAAGTTCAAATTCAACTCAGAGTGTCCTCCCTTGACTCACAAATTTGAAGAGAAATCTGTTCCTACAAGGTCCAGAATTAGAACTGAATCTAGTGCCACATTTAGGCCACAATGCCTCATCTGTTAAGTTTTAGTTTTCCAGAAATATGCCAGTTCATTAGGCACAAGGGCAGGGTGCCCTTCTTTTCATTTTGGCTAAGAAAAAAAAATGAGAATTTGGTGGTTAAAAGAACATAAGTAGGAGATCTGTCAAAACAGGGTAGGAATGTAAGCTCTACCACCTGGAGCTGTGTGGTCTGGTACAAAATGCTCCACAATTCATCCCCATTTCTCTCATCTCTAAATGGGAATAATAGGAACAAGCTCTCAGGATACAGACTTTATAAAATCATGCATGTACAAAATATAAAACAATATTTCACACAGACTATGTGTTCAAGATTCCACTTGCCATTGGCTATTGCTTTCTTACAATATGTTTTTGTTATTGTCATCTCATTTCCTTTGAATGTAGGGATGGAGAAATACTACATTTAACTGATATTTATGTAAAGTAAATTGGCTTAATATTTGTGCCTTTTATATGCAATATTAAAGTAAATTGTGAGCTTCAATCAACAGGTAAATCTTCTATACACACAATGAGGAGGATTTATTTTTCAAATCCTCTTTGCAAGTAATTGGGAGAGAGAGAAAAACAAATTGGGTATGAGGAGAAAAGTAAAAAGATGGTTAGAATTATTGACTCCATTTATTTAAAAAAAAAACTAATGGGAAATAAGAACAAAACATCTTTCTTTTCTTACAAAAACCATTTCCTTGAAGGTCCATATTCTTGTTAATTTGAGGCAATAATGACAGCACCTTGGATTAACCCTATACAGGAAACATTTTGGTGTTTTGGAAAGAACAAGGATTTGAAAGCAGAAAAATTTGTGTTGCAATCCCAAATCTTTCCCTTCCTAGGTGTGTGATCTTCAACAAGTCCCTTAGTGTCTCTGAATATCAGGCTTATATTTTATAAAATAGAAATAGTAATGCAAGCTTGACTCAGGAATGAAATATTCTGGTGTTTATGTTGCAAGGTCACACATTTACTTACACTACACTACTCTCAGAAACACAAAGACGACATAACTTCTCCATACTCTATAATTGGCCTGAGCTTTCTCTGAACATCTCATTTCTCACTCCCCTGGGGAGAAAAAAGCAATATTAGCACATTATGGTAAACCCAATCTCACTCAATAATTTAGGCATTTTCTTTAGGTAACTACATTTCTTTTAGAAGAATCGTTCTTTCATATTTCCTTCCCCTTCCCTGCTTCTTTCCCAAACAGCATGTAGGAATGGAGAGGCGGGGAGCTGATGTCACCTCATGGCATGGTGAAGTTGAAAGGGCTCCATGGATTGCATGTGAAGTTTTCTACTTAACAGCAGCAACTGTTCGGGAGATATCAAAACTGTTATGTTGCATCCCGACTAGTTCTAACCTCCTGAAACTAATAAGAAATCATGAAGTTTGAGTAACTCACAGATGCTGGGCCTTTCTTGAGCCTGAATAAAATACTTTCCTAATCACTGAAATCCAGGCTTGTTTTAACTAAGTATGAATCTAACTATGAACTCAATCTACCCTATTTATCTAGCATGTTAAAATGAGTAAGTATAACTACCATGAATTCTTTCTCGTTCAGTAGAGGAGCTTAAAAACTTCTTTTACAAAACTATGCAGTGCATTTCTTTACTGATGTGTGTTTCCTTATATTATAACAAATTTTTTTAAACATTGATGATCTTTGTTTTAGTTTTTGACAATGCACTGGTATCTTCTAAGGTGAATTTATCACCTTACCACATCATTTGTGTGGTGTTTACTAGGAACCCCTGCATTGTGGAACACTTTTGGCCTGCTGTTGCCCAATTTTGTCAGGGTTTGGTGGTCTTTCCTGATGATCTGGCTCCATGAAGCCCCTGAGCCTTGCTACAAACTCCATTTCCTTTCCTGACCTGGAGGTCTACTCTCTAACTCTCATATACAGTCCCTTTATCCGAAACCTTCATGATGCACCTGGCAAGTTGCCCAGTCAGATCCCTGGTTCACTTACACATCCTTCCCCAGCAGCCAGGAGAAGCCTCTTGGATCTTCCTCACCATATGGGAACTGATACTATGTCAGGAACACCTTCTGTTAGCCAATCCCATCATGCTATCACATTTCCTGAGGTGTAGTTGTCCACATGTATGCGCCTGGTATACCTTTAGAAGTCCTAAAGGAAGCAGAGAAAAAAGCTCATAATCCCTCAGAATTTCCCTTAACCTATCTAATATATCTCCACTTCTAGAGTCCTGGCCTAAGAGAGAAGAGGCTATGACACATATCTTCTGTTTCCAATACACCACTTTGCCTCATTCTTCCCACAATCACTCCAATGTAATTGGCTTTTCCTTTAGTCCATTTCTTGTCAGATAGAGATTCCTTCTAAATCTTTCAGACTACCCAGTAATTTATACAACCTTGTGACTTTTCCTAAAGGAAGAGTAGAAAATAGGTAGAGAGATTGGCTTAATAATAATGGGATATAAATAGGGAGGTAGATAGAAAGTATTAAATTTATTTTACATGTTAAATGTCTGGCACATAGCAATTATTTCAACTATGAGTACTACGCTGCCCAGAAAGATAGCTTATAATATGGCCAAATATCAAGTAATGGCTTCCTAATCTCAGATTACAGTCAGGAATGTGGTTAACCTCACCTGACTGCAAAAGGTATCTGGATTATTTGCCAAACTTTTAAGGAATCCTGTGAAGTGATAGGGATGGGAACCAATGCAGCGGGGCTCCACAAGGTAAGTAATCCATCAGAAAAGGGGTTATAAGAAGCTTAAACTAGAAAGATTCATTATTTTTATTTGTGGATCTAGGAATCAGATTTACCATGAGGTGAAGGAGTATTTCTATAAAAAGCTTCTTGCTCTTCTTTATGAAACTTGTTCTTCAAATTTTATACCTCAGTGCATTATTATATGATTTGTAGCAAAAGCCAAATGCTACGTAACAATTGATGTTATCCCTTACAAGCGGATTCTCTAATCACTAGTGTTATAGTACAAAACAACTGCCCCCAAATATCTAACCTGTGTAAGAACCACAAATGAGTAAATATATATTTGGAATAAAATTATGAATGTGTATGCTACTATGTATTTGCAATACTATTTTAAGCAAATAAACAGCTCAGCTGGCTATTCTGCAGATTTGTGCTGACTATAAAACATATAACCTCATATCAATATAAACCAAATACCAATGTAATCTATCTAGGATTTGAGTTTTAGCCTTTTGTCCCCCAGACAAAGGCATTATTATTATAATTAATATAATCATTATATTATTAATCAATTTCCAGACAGTTCTTTCCCAAAGCTTTCCCATTTTACATTTATGAAATTCAAAGGACTATCTCATGATAATTGTTGTTATGTTCTTATATGTTATGCATTTCATCATCAGTACTTTCAGAATGCTTCTCCTAAAGGTTCCTGAACACTATTGGATTCTTACTCCATCGCTATATATTAGTTAATTATTTTTTCTGTTCTCCTGGATCCAGTCTTTCCATAAGAAATCTCTCCAAACTTGATTAGTGCTGTTCTGTCCTTCAACAAACCTCTGTGTGTACCTCTGCCTTTACCATTAGCACACTGTGTTATGTGTTTACTCTTTACTCCATGAGACTGAGATTGCTTTTATTGTTATTTCTTTCATATGTTCCCTTTAATTACAAGTACTACCTGTCTTACTAGGAAGTGACTTGCCTTTCTTCAGTCTTTCCAAGACTACCTAAAAGCCAAGTTATTTTTTTCTCCCATCTTAAGAACATGGATTGAAAATTAAGCTGGAACAATGAGGCAAGAATAAAAATGGTAGCTGACCCACTAAGTCTGGGTCACAAAAATGTGCTATGGTATGAAGTTGAATTATTCACTAATGCAGTGGTGGATTTCCTGTAAGCTGTCCAAGTGAATGTATGTAACACTGATTGGAAAATATTAATATCTATAACATATATCTTCTCTTGAAGAACAGTTTGTCCTCATACCTGGCCATCTGTCTGCCAAGTTTCTGAGTCACCTTAGTCTCCAACTTTGGTTTCTAGAGTTAATTTAACCCCAGTAACTCAATTGCCTTAAAACTTCAGCATGTGAAAATCCTTTGGAGGATCCTCTGAGATCATCTCACCAAGAGATAAAAATTCATAGCAGAAAGATGCGAATTATATTTATTTATGATTTTTTTTAATTTATTTTTTAATTTCAGAATATTACAGGGCTACAAATACTTTGGTTACATATATTGCTTTTTCACCACCAAGTCAGTGATACAAGTGTGTCCATCCCCTAGACAGTGCACACTACACCCATTAGGTGTGAATTTACCCATTCCCTCTACCCATTTCCCACCTGCCTGACATTCAATGAATGTTACTTTCATATGTGTACATAAGAGATGCCAATTTTAAGCCATAAAGCAAAGATTTTTATTGTCCCATTATCTCCTAATTTATCAAATGCTAAGAGATTATTTTCTACATCATTCCTGAAAGTGGTTGTTGAGAGGCAGTGAAGTATATAGAGTTTGGAGTCAGACAGACATGAGTTTCAATCCTGAGTCCATACTCCTAAATTATTCTTCCAGACAGGATTCTTTCACATCTCTGACCCTCAGTTTCTTATCTGTAAAATGGAAATGGCAATCCCTCAAAGGATTGCTGTGTGTGAGGACTTATAGATGATCCATCTCAGGTGTTTACTACAGTATCTTTCACATGGTAGACATATAATTCATGATACTTCTTTTAACCCTCTCATAATTTTCTATTCCATGATTATCTCATATCTTACATCTAAATTCTACCACGAATCCTTTAGGACACCTGAAGGTCTCCTGGTTTCCAGGAGGTCACAGCCATATAAGCAATATATTAGAAAAGGAGTGATCGGTGTTCTTAAAAGTCTGCAAAACAGTCCACATTTATGCAAAGCACAAAGAATATTCTTATTCAACAAGCCACAAACTGAAAGAAGAACATGTATATTTGGCCATTTTCCATGTAAGTGATCTGAGAGCACAGCCCATGATAACCGTAGTCATGTTCTTATGTGTTACACAATTCATCATCAGGTTTTTGGGATGCTCCTGCTAAAGGACCCTGAACATTACTGGATTCTTACTCATCATTGCATATTCCTCAACTATTGTTTCTAGTCTCCTCAAGAGTGTTTATAAGAAGAATGCTATAAAAATATTACAAAGCATGGCTGGAGGAATCATTCTACAGACAAACATAGCCTGAAATTTCTAAGAAATTATCATTTACTATTATATTAAAATTATCAATTATTATAAATACTCATACCTTAATTATCAACAATACTTCTATCAGTAGGGATTGGGACCCCAGGTAACTTAATATTCTTGACTTTTCTTACTGCCTCTGTAGAAGTAGAATTTTGGTTAAACAATCTCTAAGGTCCTCTGAGATCTCTTCCACCATCTACCCCTGTTGCTATAGTACTCCAAAGGTCTGGAGGAGTGTGGGAACCTGCTAAGTATACAAATAAGTGATAGAGTCAAAGAAACACTTTCTCTGAGACATCTCCCTGCACAGAACTCTGCTCGTGTCATCTCAAGACTTCTCTCCCTCTTCGTGTTCTACACTCAGAACTCAGGTATCTGCTCCCCAGCTGGCAGCTCCCTCTCTCTGGAATGAAGGATAAGAGTCAGAAAACAGCTGAAGATCCTTAGGGAAATGAGATTGCCTGAAAGTGGGATGGAAACAGAGGGAAAGGTGGAGTCAGACTATCCAGGACAAGACTCTCATTCCTGGATTTTTGAAGGAAAAGGAACTAAATAAACTAGTTGCCATGACAACCTGCTGTTGGGGAAAGGGCCAGGAAATGGGTGACCTGTGGCTACTCTTGCTCCTGCCTCTGTCCCTGGTAGCCTTCCATGGAGTTAAAGGCTGTTTGGAGTGTGACCCCAAATTCATAGAGGATGTTAGGCACTTGCTGTCAAAGCTGGTACCCCCAGAAGTTCCTGGCCGAACTCAGCTGCTTGAACGGCAGAGTAAGGAGATGATCGGTTTAAGCCACAAGGTCTCCCACAGAGAGAAGATGCTTCGGGTGTTGGGTGAGGGAAGCTTGAGTCCCTGAGAGTTTGGGGGGTTAAAGGGAAAAGGGAGGCAGGGAAGAGAACATCAGGGTCCACATAACTTGCTCCAAAGGTATAATTATTCCCCCACATGTACCTTTCCCTTTCCTCTCTAGCTGTTCAAAAGGTTGTCCAGTTGAGAACATGGCTGAAGAATGAATTTTATAAACTGAGCAATGAAACATGGAAAGGTGAGGTACTGTTTCAATGTTAAAATTTCATATAGCCCAAGCAAGTCTATGAAAACTTGGCCAGGAAAAACAAGGCAAAACAGCTAGAATTAAACTCTGAAGAGAAGAGCTACCCCTATGTCCTGACATTCTTTCCACCCCTTCACAGGTGTCTTTATCCTTCAAGGCAAGCTTCTCGAGATCCGCCAAATCCTGGAATCCAAACTCAAGGAATTATTAAAGAACTTCTCTGAAGTTGGTAATAAAAATTTTCTATCTGAAAACACTGATATTGTGTGAAGGAAATAGAAAATGAGGGGTGAGAGGAGGAACGTGGGTTCATAAGAGTCATTCAGAATGAGTGGAGGAATAGCTGGAACTTAACGAAGTAAACAAAGACTTCTTGGTATAAATATGGTAAACTCTAAGTTGATTTTAAGCTCATTAGAACTTTCTGATTCTCTTCCAGCTTGTTCTGCAGACTGCAGTGAGTACAGTACATGTGACGCCATGAGGTTTCAACCCATATTTTCCCATCTCCTTTGCTCTGTGTGGCCCTATTTCTCCCACTTGTTACAATGAGAACGCAATCCCTAGAGCTGTGGCTACAAGAGGGAATGTCAATAATATCTCATAACAAAAGGTAGCTCAGACACCCACAGAATTTGGAGATACTCAGAGGCCTCCTAAAGAATAACTTACAACCTATTGCTCCAATATATACTGAGGCATCATTTTTCCAACTTTTTCCCAGACGTTTGATTTAAACTACAAATTTTGACACATCAAGAAACTTGATTTCTAGGGGAAGAAGGCATTCATAGCAAGTAACCTTAAGAGTCCTGGGAATGCTTGGGTCCTAATCCACACTTGACTTGTGAACTGAAGAACCCTCAGGGCATGCCCCACTCTTGATTATCTTTCTTCTCTTTATTAGCTGTGGTTGAAGGTCCCATCCTTGATTGTTGGACCTGTCTTCGCATGACCACCAGGTGCTTCAAGGGAGAATATTGTGGAGGTAACAAAGATTGTGGTGTGGCAGTTTAAGGGTCCAGGGATCAAAAAACTGGGATGTTCATTGATTTATTCCATAATTATTTGTTGAGTACCTTCTGCGCATGTCATAAGACTGCGCACTGCTACAAAATAAGAGCCAAGGCATTGGGCAAATTTTGGACTAGTGTAAAGATTTTGTCATATGGCTAATCGACATGTTGAGAAATGAAAAGCCTGGACTAAGGGTGGAGAAATTAGGCTAGAGGCAGCAAGGACAAATGTTTTGTAGAACCTAGGGGTCTAATAGTAATAAAGATTGGAATAACCAAAACAGTGATGAAGGAGTGATCAGGACAAACTGTTTAAGGTTAAAAGAGTCTTCTAGATAAAGGTGCCAAGTTACTATTTCTTTCCTCCAAAAACTGTGGTTTTTTTTCCATGCCTTTCCTTCCAGGTGAAATTCCAAGGAAGGCTGAGAATCGAGAGATTGCACTATTTCTGATATTACTGACAACAGCTACAATACTGGGAAGTGCTTTGTTACTGTGAGTTTTCTTCCCTCCAGATAAACACTATGTCAAGCATTCTTTTGGAAAAGAGACAGCTCAAATTTCCCCCTCCTTCCAATAATAAAAGGGAAAAGAAGTCCTTTCAAAATCTGGGATATGATATTGACATGAATGAAATAGCTGAAAGTTTGATGTGATAATAGTTGGAACATAAGAAAATGGAGTAGAAGTATCCAGAAAAGGAGAAAATACTGTATAGTTGTTTTAAAGAATAGGGCTACTGATACTGAACTTGGGATTCATTTCTTTTCCTATTCTAGATATTATATGTGTGTCTCTCATCGGAGGAAAATGAAGGCAATACGAAGGTCACTAAATGAATATTTGGAGAATAAACTTGAAGAATTATTGGGACGATAGAGGAGAAGCAGCAGAGACATTATAGAGACAGAAAATAAATACATAGGCACAGACAGGAGATCTTTCATTCTAAGTTTTGAATCAGGCTAGAAAACTGGGAGAGTAAGCTCTTTTGTGGCCATAAAATCATACTATTTTAAAACTGAAATAGAACTTGGAGTTTGTCTAGTGAAGAGCCTTATTGATATCCTGAGACAATGGACGCAATGAGAGGGCAAAGGGTTTACCTGGAGTTGTACCAAAAGTAACCAATGCTGGTATGTTGCAATGCACATAAAAGATGATATGCTGTATGATAATAAAGAATGCATTGTTAGTAATTCTCATTAATGGTTGTACTTAGGACAATTTTACATTTCTATTGTTACTTTTTATTTCTATATTTGTTACTGTTTCCATATTTATCATTAGTTTAAATGTGCACTATTTTCCTTGATAATACACAGCATTTAATTTTCGTCATTATATCACACACACACACATATACACACACACACATACACACGTGGAAAAAATCCAAAATATTGTTTCTGAGTAGCTGAGGTTTGCCCCTATTCTTTCCCCCTATATCTATGTCCAAGACCAAGCTGGACATTAAGTTTTTAATCTTTTAGCTTTTCCATTAAACACTTTTAAATATATGTAGCACCCCAGTTAGTGTTTTACAGTTATTTTCTAATTGAGTTCTCCCAACAACCTTGCAAGTAATTTTGGTATTATTTCCATTATAGGGATGAGGAAACAAATATCTCTAACTCAAGGTCACACAGCTAACTAATCTGGGCTATAACAAACTCCACTGGTGGCTAACCTCTGCTCATGCAGAGTCTGGTTTGTATTGACAACTCTAAGCATGCAGCCATGATAGATTAATGGAGAGATGATCAATGTGGGTTTATTGTCTTAACATATTCTTGATTACACACCTATGTGCAAATCTTGGAATAAAGCTGAGGGATGGTTAACTCTAAATTTGATGACCTTTCCACCCTATTTTGTTCTCTTTTATTCTGGAAACTTATTTCAGAAGATAAATAAACACTGCAGTTTAGCAGCAAGGAATAATAGTTTCAGGAGTTTTGCTTCAGTGGTGGGTAGAGGTATTTGCAAATCTTGCAGACACAGATTTCTGAGTGCTTGCTTAATGTTGTTGTTATATTAATGAGATACTTAATGAATAACAACATACTTCGAGAAGACCTACACACTGATACCTCTCAGGTTCTAAATTTGAAATTCATGTTAAAAAAATTTCCAGATAAGAATGTTGTGGGACATCTACCATTCCCCAATGATTTAAGGTTCATCTCTTGAAAGATCTCACTGAGATATATTAACTTCATTTACAGTCTTAATTAAATTATTACCTTCATATTATTTTATTTTTCATTATAGATAATTACATAAATAGGATAATATACATGCTAGGTTTTGTTTTAAGCTTTTTTGTTTGAATACAGAGTTTCACTTTTTTAGTTTTATTTTTAATATATAGATTTTATCGTATATATTTAAGGTATACAACACAATGTTTTGATATCCTTACACGTAGTGAAATGCTTACTATAGTCAAGCCAATTAACATCTTTGCTTTTTGCCACTTTCCTCTCCTCTGATAATACAGTCTTATCATTTTATTCTAGGAAATCTTAGATTAAAATTTAGGACATATCTTTTATTATTTTATCCATGCCTACTTTTAAGTAAATAGACAGACACATATACACAAATACATTTACAGATGAAATATTTTCAATTAAAAATTATGAACACTTCTGTATGTTGATTTTTACACAAATAATTTGTGGGAATTATTTTAAGTGATATAAGACTAATTCACTCTTTTTGAGGGTTATATACAACAACATGGTGTGGGGGCATAATTATTCCAATATTCCTCTATTGATGGACAATCTCTTCGTTTCCTTTTTTATATCACTATGAATAATGCTGCAATAAACATCTGTGTACATATATCCCTACCTACTGAACTTTTATTAATATTTCTAAGACATAGTGTTACAGAATCAGGATATTAGAAATGAAAGTTATATGTACTTTGAAATGCAATGAACGTGACTGCAATATTATAATAATCTGCATGTATACCAGTAATAACCAATCATCCATATTTTCTACATCCCTATCAGTAATAGGTTATACAGCTCTTTTAAGTTTTGCAGTCTGATAAATAAGACAATTAATTTATTTGTATCTACTAGTGAGTCAGTAGCACCTTTTCATATAGTTCAATGCCATTGGAATTGGCTGAATAATGAATTGCCTATTTGTATACTCTACTAATTTTAATTTGAGTTGCCTATTTGTATACTCTGCTTTTTGTCAATTCAAAAGTATTCCTTCCATAACATAGACATTAATTCAAGTTTTGAAGATGTAAATATTTTTCCAAATCTATCTTTTGTCAATTGATTATTTAAGTTATTGTTTTAGCTATCTACATATATCTACCCTCCGATCTATATCTACTCTCAGGTCTTTATTATCTATATAATCAAAATAAAGAACCAGCCACTTATATCAAGCCACTTAATAAATTATTTTATTTTTTACTTAATTTTATTTCATTATTTGCTGAGGGTTTTTATTTATTTATTTATTTTATTTCAAAATATTAAGGAGGTACAAATGTTTTTGTTATATGCATACTTAGTATAATGCTTAAGTCGGAGCTTTTAGTGTGCTCATTACCAGAACACTGTTGATTTCCTCCAATAGGTAAGTTTTTATCCCTCACTCCCCTCCCAGCCTTCCCACTTCTTGGTTTCCAATGTCCCTTACATCTCTTTGTGCACATGCGTGCCCATCATTTAGCTCCCACTTCTTAGTGAGAACACATGGCGTTAGTTTGTCTGTTCCTGAGATACTTCACTTAGGACAATGGCCTCCAGTTCCATCCTAGTTGCTGCAAATGACAATATTTCATTCTTTTTTATGGCTGAGTAGTACTCTGTAGTGTGGGTGTGTGTATGTGTATCACATTTTCTTTATCCATTTATGAACTGATGGGCACGTAGGTTAACTCCACACCCTTGCAATTGTGAATTTTAAAGCAATAAATATTCAAATGTATTTTTGATAAAACGCTTTTTTTCCCCTTTGGTTAGATACACAATAGAGGGATTGCTGGATCAAATGGAGGAATCTCCATACTGTTTTCAATAGAGGTTGTACTAATTTGAGTCCCACCAATAGTGTATAAGTGTTCCTTTCTCTCTGCATCCATGACAGCATCTACTGTTTTTTGACTTTTTGACAATGGTCATTCTGACAGGGGTAGGTGGTGTCTTTTTGTAGTTTTAATTTGCACTTCCCTGATGATTAGTGATGTGCATTTTTTTAATGTTTCTGGCTATTTTTCTATCTTCTTTTGAAAAACTTCTGTACTTTTCTACTTTTTGACAGGGTTGTTTCTATTTTTCTTACTAATTTGTTTGAGTTTTTATAGATTCTGGATATTAGTCCTTTCTCAGATATATATTAAATAGTTTGTAAATATTTTTTTCCTGTTCTGTAGGTTGCTTATTTATTCTGTTGATTATTTCCTTTGCTGTTCAGAAGCTTTTTAATTTAATTAATTCCTATTAATTTATTCCACTGATTTATTTTTGTTGATGTTGGTTTTTTATTTTTAATTATTATAGGTACATAATTGTTATATATCTTTATACAGAACATGTGGTGTTTTGATACAAGCATACATATATATTCTAGTTATTAATCTCTGGTTATACAGGTAGTTTGTAAATACTTTCTCCCATTCTGTGTGTTGTTTCTACCCTTTGCTTACTGTTTCTTTTGTAGTACAGAAGTTTTTTAGCTTGATATTGTCTCCTTTGTGCAGTTTTGCTTTGTTTGTCTGTGCTTTGGGGGTATTGCTCAAGGAGTTTTTGCCCAGACCAATGTCCTGAAGTGTTCCCTCAATGTTTTCTTTTATTAGTTTCATAATTTCAAGTCTTAGGCTTAAGTCTTAAATCCACTGTGAATTGATTTATGTATATAGTGAGAGATAAGAGTCTAGTTTCATTTTTCTGCATATGGATATCCACTTTTCCCAGCACCATTTATTGAAGTGACTGTCCCTTCTTGGCACTTTTATCAAAGAAAAGTTCACTAGTGATGTGTGGATTTATTTTTGTTTTGTCTATTCTGTTCAATTAATCTATATGTCTGTTTTTATTCTAGTACCATGCTGTTTTGGTTACTATACCTGCATAATATAACCTGAAATCAGGTAATGTGATTCCAATAGTTTTCTTCTTTTTGCTCAAGATAACTTTGGCTATTCTGGGCCTTTTGTGGTATCACATAAATTTTAAAATTATTTTTCTATTTCTGTGAATAATGTCATTGGTATTTTCATTAGGATTGTATTGAATCTGTAGACTCCATTTGGGTAGTATGGCTATTTTAACAATATTGATTTTTCCAATTTGTAAGTATGGAATATCTTTCTCTTTTTTGTGTGTGTCCTCTTCAATTTCTTTTTTATTAAATTTCAGAATATTACAGGGGTACAAATGTTTAGGTTACATATATTGCCATTGTCCCACCCCATTCAGAGCTATAAGGGTGTCCAACCCCAGAGAGTGTACACAGTACCCATTAGGTGTGAATATACCCATCCCCTCCTCCCCTTCCCACCCACCCAATTCTCAATGAATGTAACTACCATATGTGCACATAAGTATTGATCAATTAGCACCAATTTGATGGTAAGTATATGAGTTGCCTGTTTTTTCATCCTTTTGATACTTCACTTAGTAGAATGGGCTTCAGCTCTATCCAGGATAATATAAGTGCTAGTTCACCATTTTTTTTTTTCTTTTGAGTAGCACCACATGGTATACATATACCACATTTTATTAATCCATTCATGTATTGGTGAGCCCTTGGGTTGTTTTCACATCTTTGCAACTGTGAATTGTGCTGCTAAAAACATTCTAGTGTAGATGTCTTTTTCAGAGAATGTCATTTTTTCCTTTGGATAGATGCCCAGTAATGGGATTGCTGGATCAAATGGTATGTTCTATGCTTAGCTCTTTGAGGTATCTTCATATTACTTTCCATAGAGGTTGTATTAGTTTGCAGTCCCACCAGCAGTGTTTAAGTGTTCCTATCCATCTGCATCCATGCCAACATTTGTTGTATTGGAACTTTTTGATAAAAGCCATTCTCACTGGAGTTAAGTGATATCTCATCGTGGTTTTGATTGGCATTTCCCTAATGATTAGAGATGCTGAACATTTTTTTGTATGTTTGTTGGCCATTAGACTGTCTTCTTTTGAAAAGTTTCTGTTCCTATCTTT